GGGCAGAGGCACAGTGATATTACAGTTTACTCCCCAAGAACATGACATTGACCCGGAGAGGTCTTAAACCTGGATCCTTCATTCTGGAGTTCATGGGTTGCCCAACACAGACTAGATTTTCGCCGTGCAACTCCGTTACTCCATGGGAATGCAGGAAGTCTAGTGGTAAAAATATAAAACAACCATGAGAAAGAGGTCCTAAATGCCATTGTTGGTGGTCTGAGTATTTCAGAGCGCTAATTACTCGTAAAATCTGGATAATCATTTGATTTGATTTCATCCTCGTTAGTTTAGGCTGAAGAGTCGCTGCATTGCTGAGGTCATTCCTTGTCTCCTTGTAGGTTGTCAAATGAAATCGATTGTAATGTTCAGACTGTAACTATTGATTGGGTAGAACTCAAGCGTGCAACTGCTGAGAAGAACATTTGCTGTAAGTCTAACAATCTTTTATTCACGTCAGCTGTTTGGCATGTGTTTGTTTTTCTTTTTTCAGGCAGTAATTTTAGGACCACTTGCTGAGAATACACAATACGATAATTGTTTTCCTTATTTCCTCATATGTTTAAGAGAATTCTCAGTTTTGATTGTGATTTGGTTTCTGTTGTTGGCAAATCGACAGTCCAAATGTTGTGGACTCACGAGACGCAGCCGGATGAGTCCACAACAAAAAAAAACCGATTCTTACCGGACGTGACATATTGCATGACATGTTGCGTGACGCGATGACGCGAGTTGTGTTGTTTGTGCTCCTATCGACGAATTGGCGAATCAGATTGCGACATTACGGGCACTTGTTGTAAATGTTTATTTCAATCTATGTCCACTTCAAATTTGTTCTTAAGAGTTTTACTTTAGTTCCTTAGCAGGTTATTTGTTTTGTTTTGGGCTGGCACCATCGTACTTGAGATTTTAACTAATATTTTGGGTAATAATATCAAGATATTTCGAACTGTTACATCACCCAGTTAGCAGGTGCATTATGATCGGTCAATTTACCAGGGTGTATTTCTCTGTACGGCCCGTTGAATTCAAAAGCTTGTTTTGATCGCCGAAAGTTTTCTTGAGAAAAACTTTGAAACACATTTAAGGAAAAGTACGGAAACGAAGTTAAAGAACAAAACTCAAAAGCAGATTTCCTAAACTTTCGGGTTCATTTCTTAAAGCTTTTGGAGGAAGACAAGCGACAAATAGAGAAAGATGAGTACGTCAAAGATGACTCTAGTCGAGAACTAGATTATTTCATTACCGCCGAAAGGTCGTCAAACACTGTGAAAAATACGAAATACGAGTGGAAATAGTCTGAAGAGTTTTGCAAACAGCAAGCCAATGGAAATGTTAAGGTAATGGACATGCCTGCTGCTACTCTCAACCAGCTCTCTGGTTATTTCTTTAAGGATGACAGCAAGCAAAATGGCGGCGAGTACGAACCAGACAGTATTTCATGCTATCAAAAAAGCATACTCGAGTTATCTTTGTCGTGCTCGTCTTTCTCCATTTGCCGATGTCTTCCTCCAAAAGCTCTATAAAGTAGGTTCAGCTCCCAAGGGATTCCACCTCCTTCTCTCTTTGCGTAAACAAACATCGACTCAATTTCCAAATGTCTTTAAACTTGGTAAAGTCAGAGAGCGATCTACCTTGTGGCTTCCTCACTTGAAAACGCCGCAAAACACAAAAAATTGAATGCTAAAGGTTGAAAAGATTCTTTATCGTTTCGATCGCATTTTGGATAAAAATCATTCATTCATTTGAGGCTGACATTGAACGAAATTAGCCGTAAGCTCGGTTTTGGCGAAAACGAAGACCACCGAAAGCTAAGACCTAAGAACCGAAGAAGAAGACCCCTCTATTATTCTTCATTTGTCGCCGGTAAGATCCAGTTCCAGTTTTAATCTTTCTAATAGCGAGTAGAGCATGCTCTCAAACACTGGTTCATTTGTGAAGGTGTAGTCCGATCGTCCGGGTGAGTGTAGTCCTGAGAAGGACTGTTGTCGGTGGTAGTGACTGACGTTTCGACAACTTGTGCGGAAGTCATCATCAGAGTCAAGTGAATGATTGTTGTCAGTAGAATGTTCTTATTCCAGTTGGTGTAAAATGATCGGTTGGTTTTGCCGTGATGTTATTGGCTGTAAGACTCAAGTGACGTAAGTCGGTCGTGATTGGTCTGTTTCGATCTGTCGGTAAAGTTAGGTCGTTCTTTTTCGGTCGTTTGTGATGTTTATGTCGTGAATGAGTCGTTTGTATGGAGCGGGTAGTTGTTGACATCTGTTTAGGGGAGTCTGTTCTAAGTTAGTAAACCAGCTTTCCAGAGTCAGTCGTTGAAAATAGTCAGTGCTGTAGGTTAGGCATTGCGCAGAGTCCCAGTCAATGTTGTGGTTGGTAAGTCGATGGTGTTCAGCAATGTGATTGCTGACATCACCTTTCCTCGTCGCCCGTCTGTGTTCAGTCAGTCTTGTTGTGAGGTTTCTGCCAGTCTCACCGATGTAGGAGGCTTGGCAGTCGGAACAATTGATCTTATAAATCGTTCCCTGTCTGTTCCTCGGTTCGTCTTTGTCTTTAACGTTGGTTAGTAACTGACGTAGTGTGGTGATGGGTTTGTGGGCGACGCGGATATTGAAGGGTAGTAAGATGCGCGAGATGTTTTCAGACATGCCTTTTATGTACGGTATGGTTGCTGTAGTCGTAGGGGTTGCGGTGTCGTTTGTTTCGGTAGTGGTAGTGGGTCGGTGAGTGTTTCGTCGGATGAAGTCGTTGTTGTAGTTGTTCTTCGTAAAAACATTTGGCTAACGTTTACTTACTTTTAGTACAACGGTAAACACTACAAACAGTTACACGGCACTGCCATGCAAAATTTTGCGCAGAGCCACCCGATTCATGTGTAAAGATCTTGGCCTCTCTTACAAGGAACGTCTATTAGAACTGAACTTACTTCCCCTGAACTATTGGCTGGAATATCTAGACATCGTCTTTTTCTTTAAATGCAAATTAGCTAAATTGATCTGAAAAGAAAAAACCTCTTTGAGCTTTGTAGTCGGCGCTCGCGCCGTGGCGTTTCTGGTGTTTTTCTCAAGAATAGGAAAGCTAAAACCACTCTATAGAGATTCCTTTTTTGTAAGAATCTGTAGCATATGGAACGCCTTACCAGATAACATAAGAGCAGAAAAGGAGCTACCGTCTTTCGTCTAAAAACTAAAGTCTTTCTTTTGTCTAAGACTTAGCAAAGTTTTCTATCAAGACGACATCCGTTCCTTTCAATTAGTTTGTGTAAAATGTTGTCGTTTCAATGCTCTTAATTCTTGTACGTGTTAACCAACTGTTTTTTGTTTTTGTTGTTTTCTGTTTTGTTTTTTGTTTTGTATGTTTGCTTGTTTGTTTTTAGCATGGGGGCTAGTAAGTGGGTTGGGTTTCAATTTAGTCTGCTTTTAGGGGATAGGGGAAGGTAATATACCTTGTCCTACTGTAAATTTACCTGCCTTTGCCAAATTGTTAAATAGAAGAGATTTCTATGGTCCAGGTACTCCAACAAGGCAGTCAGCGATGTGCTACTAACAAGTGGCGAATTTCGAACGGATCAGGGGAGCTGGAGATACCCTGCGAGCAGAGCCTTTTCTTCTTTTCGTCTTCTTTTCTTCTTTTAACCCTCCAAGGGAAAAGGCTCTGCCGACATCCTGTTGTTGCTCTGAAATGCCGAAAGCCTTAAACTCCGGGCTACCCAAGCCGGTTTTGCCTCCAGTTAAACCGGTTTTGGTGCGCACGCCTTTTTTTTCATGTAAACAGATGACCAAATCTGCGCCTGCAAACGCAGTTTCTAGGCAACCACCGCGCATGTTCAAACAAGCAACAACAGGATGTCTGCAGAGCCTCTCTGTTTTCAATTCGTGGACGGGTTAAAAGGGCTCTGCTCGCAGGGTAAGCTGGAGAGCACGCTCATTTCAAAGTTGATTTGTTATTTTGAAAATGAGGGATCTTCGTTTTCGGGTCTTGATTTTAGGGTCTCAGGTCTTTGATCTTAGCATTCGGGGTCTTCGTCTCCGTTACAACCCCGTTAGTTTTGCACTTTCTATGAAGAAGCACGTCAGGTTGTGCTCTGCAGATTTCTTTAGGTATTTCCCTTAGGTATTTAGGACCTGTGTTATGGGCTAAGCTACCTTCCCGTATTAGGACGTTGAATTCACTAGCGGGTTTTAAGAGGGCAGTTAGAGGAATGGATTTGAAAATGTTAATGGACGATGGTGGCTGTGTGGGCTGCTTGGTTTGCAGTGCATGATTCTTAGTTATATCTTAATTAGGCTCAGACTATTCCTCCCCCCCCCCGTCTTTACAGTGCATGATTCTTAGTTATATCTTAATTAGGCTCAGACTATTCCTCTCCCCCCTCACGTCTTAAGGTCCCCTAGCCTAATTCTGCTGACCACAAATTTTATGCTATTTATTCGTATATTTTATGCTATTTAATCGTATATTATTACTTAGTTATTTATTATTTTATTTAAATTATCTCGTTGTGTCCTTACTTAGTGGTTTTATTACTGCTATTTTATAATTGACACATGAATAAAGTTCATTATCATCATCATCTGGCATTTCAAAGAAAACTCTCGGCAAAAGAGTTACGTACAAAACGCTGCATCACGGTTCTTTGCATAAAACCTTTGTATACTTTGATTGTTGTTTTCATATAGTTGCATTATTTTGAACCATGGGTGTTAAACGAATATTTTGAACTTTTTGACGCGCGTCAATCATCAATTGCCGTTCCGCTTAAATTGAAATCTTTTTTCCTTCGTTTGAACCAAGAGTTATGATAAACATCTTACAAAACTCTCCTTTTCCCAGGGCCTTACTGTAAGTCACGGAACCTGGTTTTTTCCGCTCGGTTTATGGCCCGCGCGCTGGTCATGAATTCGAGCGGAGAAAACTCGGTCCGTAACTTACAGTGCCGACCTCAAACTCGGTTAGTAGGAGGTATTTATTACTTTACTCAATCACATCAAAAGCTGCTTCGAACAATCATTACCTTTCAATGTTTAAGTCAAGAGTCAGTGATTAGGCTTTGAATAGCTATATTCTGTCTTTTGGTTACAGCAGGCGCTGATGAATTCCAGCCAGTGGGAGATTTGGAACCCGTGAGTTTTCTGGAAAGTGATGACGATGAAAGTAGCTACTTCGCGGACGATGAGACATCAGATTGCCAGTCACCGTCTACCAGCGAATTTTCGAATGAGGATCAGTACGTTGAATCAAAATGTGAGCTCCCACTTTTACTCGAAATTCAATAATGCCTTGACTTCAGATACGATCGCTTACCCGGCCAACGCTTGTCTCCGTATCACACTGGATTTTTACAAATGAACTTGATTTTGCACTTTATAGCTATATGTAACCGTTGTTTGAATTTTCAAACCGGCGTATTTATAATACACATTGCGATAAAGTAGAAAAACGGAGTATGTCTGGACAGTTGGAAGATTGTTAGGTGGGAAAATGTCATGATGGACTAAAATTAAAATCGAATAGAAATCAGTGGAATGTTTGGACGCAAGAGGAACGTTTTCCTTGGACTTGATATTGTAGCTCAAAAAACACACTTTGATTCATTGCAGTCATTAGATCTTTATCACCTTTTGCTTAATTGGTCGCAACAGGTACTGATGATGCCGAAGTGTTGAAGCATTTCAGAAGTGACGACGATCATGGTGATCAGTTCGATGAATTAAAACTTTCTTCACATATCTCCGCTTTGGATAAAGTCTTTGACTCCGCGAATCAAGTTATAACTGCAAAAGGTAAATAGATGGGAGAACTGTTTATAATTTTTATTTTTTTAAATGAGGTTTTTGATTCATTATAACTTTGCAGGGGGGACACTCTTTATTTCCACTGATACAGTTGTTCAAGTGCCACTTGTGTATCAGTTTTGCATCTTGATTGATTAGGAATGTAATGTTTTTCCCAAAGGGTCAAAATGCAAGTCAATGGCTACCTCGTGGGAGTATACTGAGGAGCAGTTGAATTACTACAGGATCTGTTACATTGTCACCGATGTGCTAACTGAAGGCCTTCGAACAATCTTCAAACAAGAATGGGACAATCGCTACAAGGCAACTCTGGGAGAATGGAAAGATGAACCGAAAAATGGAATGGACTTTGAGAGCCATGAATCCCCACGAAACAGAAGAAGAAACGCCCATCTCTTGAAAACTATGATCGATGGTGACAGAGCGGAATGGGATTGTACCATGTTATTTTATGCCATTCTTTATTCCGATTGCATCTGCAGTCTCCATCCAGCTGTTCAGTCAAATGTGGATGATCTCAGAAAATTTCGTAATGAAGACTTTGCGCATAGACCACGAGGCTTCCTATCCAGCAGAGATTTTCAAGATGATATTTTAAAGGTGAATACTGCATTTCACGCACTCGGTCTCCCCACTCTACAAATCCGTGCAATCCAAACTCAGACAAGTTTCCCCACGAAAGAGTTAAGAAATGTTGACTTCTTT